CCCTCCCCCCGTCAATCCCATGACAGTCATTGTGTTTTCACCGGTAGATAACATGGTCATTTCCTTTCATRWACATCTGAATTGTAATCCAATGTATGGCACCGCTTGTGAATGATGCATGACCTACATACACTTTTGCACTATACTTAATTACTCGTGATCGAACGAGAAGACATTTCTTTGGGAAATTGGTTAATTATCCTTTGAGATAAAAGAACTTTCAACATTAATGACACACGTTGAGGAAATGGTTTAAGGTTAAAAGATGAATACATGAATTACCAAAGCGCCCGACTGATAAAGATATTGACACAAATGTAGCACAAGCAAAAATAGAAAATAAATAGAGCTGGATATAAAGTAAAAAAGAAAAGAGCTGAGTTAAAAGATGTAAGATACCGAGGAAGGAAGCTACTATAAGCAGTGTAAACTAAAAGCAAAAAAGAACATTTGAAGAGGACTAAAAGTCACCGATGAACCGTCTAGACACGAACACGTGTTGCTAACTCAAATTTTGGGCTACTGCTTTCTATATTTTTGTAATCATAAATTATTAAACTTAACTGAAATTAAATCTTGAAAATAATACAAAATTTGCATTTTAAACAATAGGTATTTCAAACGCCGAATTTCTTCTAGTACAAAAGTCAAGAAGAAGACAAAATATTTGTGATATTTTCGGTACATGTGAAATTCGACAACGCAACACTGAACTATTGGAATAAAAACACTTCGCTAAAAACACAAACATCATTAATCGCGATACATCTTTATTGATTGTTTTATATACATAAGATCTAATAACGTATTCTTCATAATTATTATTTCTTCGATTCTTTTCTTTCATAGTTTTCTTCTATCAATATTTCAATAATAAATTTGATAATTCAGGGATTTTCACTTTCTTGCTAAATTCATTCAAATTCATCATATTAACCTGTCATCGAGAAGCCCTCGTGGATCCGAGAACCTTTGCACAATTTATAGCTATTCTTGATTTGAATAAATCAGAAAACAATGGATCGTTTTCTTCAAAAACAAATCTACCAATTGCAAAGATTCTCGAATGCAAGTAGCCCTTGAAGTGTTTACATCATTGCTTTGTAATCAGCACTACTACTACATTGCTCATAAAGTGATAGTTGGCCAGCGACATGTTATCGATACATATGATTCACTTTTTGTTGCCTCAACAGGCGCGTTATATAATCACGTGTTTATTGCCGCGCTTTTTGTGTCTAAGGACTCCGTTTTAGAGACGACCGACTTGTTTTTTCACTAGAAACCACTACACTATTTTACCTTACAAAGCACTTCAAGATTGATTCATATACTTGAGAATCTTCTAACGCTTCTTTCATTAATCATAAAGTGCTTTCTCTATATAATATACAGAGCAGGTGCGAGTGGATTTCCTTAATTTCGGTCTTTCAAGATATAATGAATACTGATTAGCTTACATGGGATCGTAAACAAATGTCAATGTGATACATGATGAGAAATATAAGTACAGGACAAGTACAGAAATATACGACCAAACATGTCAGAATCTACCTTTCGGCTAAAATCTAAAAAAAAACCTCAGTATTTGACCTTTCTGAAATACATAATATAGTCTATAAGTGTATTTTTTACGGCCTTTTTGGTACTATTTTCGTCCTGAATTGAATATATAAAACAACACGAAAACACCATGTAAGCGGAGTCATCGACCAGGCTCAGTATTCAATATTTCTCGACGGTTTTGTAAACATGTCGATGGCCAACTAATACAAATATTACCAGCAATCAGATTTAATTATAAGAAGATTGGATCAAATAACAATGTATTACTTTTAAATAGAAGTTCTGATAAATAAGGAAACATAAAGTAGACCATGAATAAGTTTTTAAGTTAGTTTGGGCTTAAATTAATTGAAAGTACAATGATATTGTACGAACGACGCGCGCGCGTCATTTACAGCTTTTGGCGGGAAAATCAGTCGGACGCCATTTTGCATTGGGAGAAAGTACAATAGTCTAATAAATAATCAAGTGTAAGTTTTTGAAAGAAAAGTATCAAAGTAAAGAAATGAATCCTTCCATTGATCTCCCAAATATTAGCAAAAGACAGGAAAAAAAGAAATATATA